CACATCCCTTATGCTGGTCAGACTTCCACTTTCTATTATTCCAGTTTGATACCATCAGACCCTGTGCTGAGCCTTTTCAACACATTAATTCAGCAAAGAGTTACTCAATTCTCCTGCCAGGATGGAAAAGGCTTTACGCACAAACCAGTGAGTACCAGAAGTGATACAACACGGGACCAAAATATGTAGCTGAGTGTGGGATGAGGGGTGGGAGAGGAAGAGGGAAGAGCAGGACTATACCGGCCAGCAGGTAGATAAATTTAGGCTGTTGTGATGCTGTGGCATAACACATCCAATTGAGTTATCTCAGTATGGCTTCCCTCAGGAGTTAGCAGAAGAAAGGCACATCCAAAAGGTGGATACCTCCCCTAAGCGGAGCTGCTATAGGAGTAAGAGGAGTAAAATAGGAAAGGAGAGAAACCATGCTGAGTGAAATAAACTGAGATCTGTCTCAGAAGAGCTTTTTCAGAATAAACATGGCAATTTTCAGTTGGCTTCTACACTCCTGAGCAGAGTGACCATAGGTGAGCTGCAACCCCATGGCCCTTACTTTTTCAGCCTGTTGTAGGTGACATCATTGGCTAATTTCAGCAGGCGGTAAGAGCTGTCTCGGTCCAAGCTCAGCATGCCATCTCGAGATTCCTCAAAGGCAACAGTCACTGCTTTGGAGGTGACACGTGTTACAATGCCAGTGGAGAGCGGATCACCCTGGCCAGCGGAATCATAGAGGCCCACAATGTCCCCTGCAAAGACAAGTTTGAAGAGAGAGCGTGAAGTGGGGCAAACATTTTGAAAAGAAGCTCTTTTGCGGAGACCAGTAACCAAGCATGGTCCATTGGAGACAGCAGGACCACCTACACCAACCATAGCTCTAGCACTGCGTTTCCTGCCAAGGTCAGAATTTGTGTCAAGCCCATAATGGAGAACATCCTTTTCTTAGCTGACAGAAAGCACACAGCAAGAGGGAGCAAAAGGACATTAGCAGTGAGAGGACACCAGAGAGCAACTAACTGGCGGCCTTCAGATCTCCATACGCTACAGGTCTTGGGGTGGAGACCAGCAGTGCTCCCCATAGCCAGAGCTGCTCAGAAAGCCAACGTGCTTTCACACAGACCTTGAGAGAACCTGACTTCTCTGAACTCTCAGACAAACTACTTTACATCCATTTTATTTTTTAATAATAGCCAAGGAGTCTGCATGACAATATGTGCCTCCCAGATGACTGCTATATGCTAGTCAGTAGAACTAAGAAAGACGGGAGATTTTTAAGGACTCACTACAGCTTTTCACAGTCACGGTGAGATGAAAGAGAGTCGAATTACATTGTGTAATAGTGAAATGGAGGTTTTGAGCAGGATGTTTGACTAAGTTTGTAACTTAGCCGGGGCTCACATTTATTGAGGATTAAATTTCAGATTCCCAAACTATGGGAAGCTTTCCTTCCTCCGTAAGGTCCATCAGCTCTTACATTAAAATGCTTGTGTCCCAGAAATAATTTACTGCCATGGCAATGTTATTTCTCTTTGAAGAGCACTGGCAGATGCTCTCAAGGCTGAGGCCCCAATCTGCAATAAGTCATTTTAATTTCAAAGGTCAGCACCTTGGAGGCCTGGGTGACAAAGAATGCATCAACAAACTGAACTTCAACACACTTTGAAATAGTACCATCATGCGACCAGGGTGTTGTGGTTTAACCCCAGCTGGCAACCATGCAGCCGCTCACTCACCTCCCCTGCACCCAGTGGGATGGGGAATAGAATTGAAAAAAAGTAAAACTTGTGAGTTGAGATAAAGACAGTTTAATAGGACAGAAAGGAAGAAAATAATAATAGTAATAATATGACGACAATAATAAAAGAATTGGAATATACAAAACAAGTGATGCACAATGCAATTGCTCACCACCTGCCGACCAGTGCCCAATTAGTTCCTGAGGCCCCCCCCCAGCCAACTCCCCCCAGTTTATATACTGGGCATGACATCACATGGTATGGAATATTCCTTTGGCCAGTTTGGGTCAGCTGCCCTGGCTGTGTCCCCTCCCAACTTCTCGTGCCCCTCCAGCCGCCTTGCTGGCTGGGCATGAGAAGCTGAAAAATCCTTGAGTTTAGACTAAACATTACTTAGCAACAACTGAAAACATCAGTTATCAACATGCTTCTCATACTAAATCAAAACCATAACAATACACCAGCTACTAGAAAGAAAATTAACTCTGTCCCAGCCGAAACCAGGACAAAGGGTCAGAAACAGTCTGGTTCCCCATGATGCACCTGCTTAGCAAGCTCAATGATCTAGCAAACTAAACCAAGAAAATTACTAAACTAAACCAGAAAATTATCTGGTGCAGCCAGCTTCTCTCTTGTGGACCAGTTTTGGAGAGTGCATGGCAATCTCCTCATTGCCTAAGGAAAAGAGAAGAAGGGTCTCTGCAGGGAAAAAATAGAGGGCATACTGCAGACTCACATGGAACTACTTCACAGCCAAACCCAAGTTCTTCCGAGGGGTAAGCCTGCACAGCTGGTTGCAGCACAGCAGACAGCATCCTCGCTTTCCTCAGATACCAGCCACAGAGGGAACAGCTCAGCTTTGATGCTCCTGGTCATGTTTTCATGGAAGTGATGGCAGAGGGTGAGACACAAGTGAAAAGGCCACTGGCTGATGTGCTGCTGAGTCTGTGTTTCTCTAGTACCTTCGTTTCCAACAGAAAGCTAGGCATGTCAACTAATAACACTACATACTTCACTTCTTCCTTTTCCTTGCCAAAAATAATAGTACAGGGAAGGGAGGAAATATAGCAACTCAGGAAGGAAAAGGAAAATCCACTTTCCATTTTCGAATTAAAGTGTAAGCAACAGAAGCTCCTTATGTACCACAAGACATAAACATGAATGTTTTGGCTTGTACAAAGAATGTAATGAAATCTTTACTGACAAGAGACGAGGGCTTTGTTTTTATTGATTCAGAAGGAGGAAAGCCAGTTCTTTAACCACCAGCACTTCCTGGTGCAACATACATGTCCATAACAAGCCAAGGGAAAAAGAGGCTGTTTTTTCTAGATTCATCCTGTAGCCGTAACATTTTCTCCCTTCCTTTTTTGCATCAATTGCTCAGTCTTTACAAATTAAATATCATATTAGAAAGATGTTAGGAAGAAGACATTGGTCATCTCTTACTTTACCTACTTTGCACCAACAGGAAGATCACTTACCAGGCCCAAAACTGTTGTAGGGCAGCTCAGCATCTGAATCGTATTTTCTAGGCTGAAATGTCACGAGCAGCCGTCCGTAGAGGCCGGTTCTCTGGTTGGCAGCTTGGAGTCTTAGCAAGCAGATGCCTCTGCGCTGCAATTCCTTCAGGGAGATGCTTTCCTGCCATGCCCTGGAAAGCACACACAGGCGTGAAAACCATTTTCTGGACTGAAGCTGAGATTCAAAGCCTCAGAAGACAAAAAAGAAAAAGACAGGAGGAGGAGATGGAAAAGAAGGGGAAGGATGATGGCAAAAGAGACATCAGCTTGTTGAAATGTTGGCTCACATGATCACTTTGTAGTGATGTAACTAGATTGGCTTCCACAAGCTTATTTTGGGAAATGGGGTGATGCTCACAGATCCTGAAGAGGAGGTAACAGCTGCTTATGTGTATTTTCCTCTCTCCTGTCTGGGTGTGAAAGGGAAGGACCTGCCCAGTTATCCACATCCCAGGATCCAGGACAGAATAATTTGAGTTTTCTCCTATCATGTATAACTGCTTAAATGGAAGATTTGCCATTTTTTGCAGGAAGTTGCGCTAACCTCCAACAAACACCACACACGTGGCTGCACAGGGAAGAGGAGCGGGTGTCTGGCAGAGACTTGCAGGCTACAAGTGACTACAGCACAAAATGCAGGCAGCAGCTTTGCAGACTGCTGTTCTCTGGGGCCAAAGTGTGCTGCAGCAGCTGTGTTTGCTCCACAGTCTCACTTGGGGAGGGTGACTTTATTCTTGTATAGATCAAAACAAAAAGGAAAATCCCACAGGTTTATTCTCTTTAGTCTCCCAGGTTGACTTGTGTCCTGTAGGTTGGTTTGTAGGGAGCTGAAGTGTCAGGGAACTTCAGGCAGCTGTGGAATAAGCTTGTCCTGTCTCCTGGCACTCTCTGACCTCAGGGCTGGGTAAGGCCAGGCCTTACTGGCACCAGAAATAGGGGTGTCTGCGCTCCTGCCGTGGCCCCACACAACCTGGGGGCACCTGGTGATACCCCCACCCTCCCTGGCACCACAAATCCACCTGAGTCAGGTGGGATTTGGTTTCAGCTCAAGCTCTGGGGCAGGAGAGCAAAGCTGGGTGGGGGCTGCAGGTTCCCAGCACACCCCCACCCCAGGGTCTGAGGGAGAAGAAGGGGAGCCCCAAGGTGTTGCCGATGTGAGCTTGGATTCTATAGGTGACAGCAAGCCCTAAAGGGTGAGTCTAAGAGGGATTCCTACAGGGATGAGCTGGTCCTATAGGGGTGAGTCCAGCAGGGTTGCCCACAGATTAGAGCAGGTGCTGTAGGGTGGGTTTCCTATTAGGACGTTTAGGTTATGTAGGAGTGAGGACAGCAGCATTTCCCATAGGTAACAGCAGGCTTCCCACAGGTGACATGAGGTCCTGCAGGAGCGAGTCAGCAGGGTTTCTTATAGGTGACAGCAAGTCCCTTAGCGGTATGTCTGTCAGCTTTTCCCACAGGTGACAGCAGGTCCCGGGGGAAGATCCCTCAGGGTTTCCTATAGGAGACAGCAGGCCCCGCCCCAGGATCGGTGTGTCAGGGCTGCTATAGGGGACAGCGGGCTCTATAGGGGCGAGCCAGTAAGGTTTCCCCCCGCAGCCGGCCCGGCCGTACCTGCTCTCGGCGACCTCGGCCTCCCGCTCCTCCCGCAGCAGCTCCAGCTGCCGCTCCGCTGCCTCCGCCGCCATGGACCTGACCCTTCGCCCCGCCGCGAACTTCCGCTTCCGGGGCGGGGTCATCGCGATGGCGGCGGCGGTGACGGGGCTCCGGCGGCGGGCGGCAGGTGAGGTGGGACGGGACGGGCCGGGCTCCGCTCCGCCGGGGGAGGGAAGGAGGGAGGTGGCGGGGCAGGGTCTCCACCGCCGGGACGATGCGGCCCGGTCTCCCCGTGGGGCTGGGCCGGGGGCCGGGGCCCCGTCCCCTCCGCGGGCCCAGCGAGCCCCTGCGGCCTCCCCACGCAGGGCGGGGGCTCCAGCCTTCCGGCCGGCTCGTGGTCCTGGTTTATCCACGCCACGTACCTGGTGGGTGACCCCCGGAGGGAAAGTTGCCGAGGCGAAAAGGGCACAAGAGGAGCGACCAGCATGGAGCAGCCAGAAGGCTCGGGGGCAGGGGAGGAGGAAACGTTAACAAGAAGGAGAATCGACTTGACACCCTTTTTTCTAGCCTAGTTGAACCCTTCAGCAAAATCCAGGGAGTGGAGGAGGGTGTAGGGACTCCCATCAAGCTCCTCCCTTCCTCGCTGGGCAGGGAAGCCGGCAGGGTGTTTGTTATGGGAGAAGACTGGGGGTCACGCGGGGAGGCCCTGGGTTTGGTTTCTGTGCTAGGTGAGTGTGACCTTCGTGAACTGCAGCTTCTGCAAGTGAGGTGGTTAAGTACGTTTGGTTTTAAGAGGTCTTCCCAGTCCCTCGAACTGGTGGTGCTTTGGCTGGTGGGTGAAAAAGATAATGTTCCTGCAAAGAAGCTGTGCACGGTCTGTCTTTTAGTTATGCAAATTGTTCCAGAAAGGGGATTGTTATCCCTGAGATAACAGGGATAAATCCTTAAGCGTGTGTTTTTAGGCCTTCATCTCTTTCTGCTAATTAACAGTGTGTGCAGGCCCAGCTCCTTTCCAAAAAATGCTGAAGCTACACTCAAAAGCGTAATTTAAGTTGTAGTAAACCACTTGTTTTTTGAAGATTTGTGTATTGGAACAGTAACACAGCTTCACTGTTTTGGTGAACGTTAGCTCATGTATACGCAGCTCTGAAAAGCAGGAATGTGTTTTTCAAATTCCCATCTTCCGTTGATGTTGTTTGTTTAACTACGTAGCTCCTCCACTCCTCCTTGTCTAGAAGGAAGAGGCGTGTTTGGGATGGTGAAAAACCAGACACAGGAGTGTTAAAATCAAATCTGCTGAAGCTGTCCCGCTCTTCCAGTTCACTGTGTTTCACTTGGCATTGTGGTGTCTGCTTGGGAGCTACAGGGCCAGTGAGTTACTAGCAATACGCCTTGTCTTCCATATCTCTTTTCAGAGTGGAAACTTTGTAAGGCTTAGTAGAAGTTGCCGAGAATCACCTAGTAAATGTTGTGTAATAGCTCCCCTCCCCTTTTTGGAGGGCCCCGAGGGCTGAAAAGGATCCTTCTAGCAGCATAAGTTAGTGCTCAGAATTAAGACAGTGTTCCTGTTCCTCCCTTCTGCCTTTCAGTCACATTGTTTTCAGAAGAGGTGGGATGCTCTGAGTGTAACCATATAAAATTGTTGCATCTAGCTGGAACTGTCACTTGAAATAAGTGTGTTTGCAGTGGGAGGCCTTTCTTGTGCTCTTTTACACTGCTGCCCACAAGTGATGGGTCCTTTCTCTTATCATGTGTCTTGTTTTGCTTCGCCCTTTATCTTTGCCTGTCACGATAAAACTGAACGAAGCTTTTACCAGGCAGAAAAATGGTACCACGAAGCTGATCAGCGCTGTGACAGTTCAGCATTGCAGTAATGCTGCCTCACCAGGGACTAAAAGCCCAGCAGTTGCTGCTTATTTTTAATTCTTTTACCCTCTCTCCCTTTTAGCCTTCTTGCTTTCATCTGCAGTTCGTCACCAGAGTTCCCAGAGCACGTCACTGCAGCAAGGGTAATGTCAAATGACTTTCTGCTTTGCTTTGTGCCCCTTGAAATGCTGACCTTTCTTGGGGGGGGGGGGGGGGGGGGGCTTTTTTTTTTTTTGGAAAGGAGGCTTATATGACCCCTCTGTCAGTCTGTCACTTCCCAATATTTTTGGACTCTCTGCCTACCTTCAGTCACCTTTCCCAGAATAATGTTTCTGTTGGTTTGTGAAATTAAGCAGCTGAGTCTAGAGACAGATAATTAGATCCTCCACTGAGAAAAGGGCTGCAGTGTGGGCTCAGCCCGTAGTAGACAGCAGAGAAGCCACTCAAGTCAGGACATTGCAAACGCCTCAGCTGTGGAAGGAGCTTCAGCTGACACTCATCTTTTTAGGTACAGGTAGTCTTCTCCTCAGGCAGGGTTCATCTCCTGCCTGGAGTCTCCGACATCTGATAAATACTGAACTTGCACTGCAGTCTTCATAAAATGTGATTAACAGCCCAAGCACTACAGGACACTGAGCCAGGAAACTTCAGGCTTCATTTGTTTCAGCACTTTGAAAGCTGCTTGTTTGTGTCTTTTGTTTCCTCTGCTGAGATCTCGTGGGAGACAGAGCTGCAGGCTGTGCTGCTGCTTGCTTTAACCAGAAGGGGACACTGCAGAAATAGAGAACTCCCGTGAGCAGTATCGGCGAAAAATGGCAAGATTTGCTCATTCCCTCTGCGCTGCTGAAGGGTGCAGGGGGGTGGCCTCTTCCCACTGGTCCTCACGCACGTGGGAACACAGTTTGGATCTCTGCCTCTGTGACACAGTGCCCAACATTATTAGTAAACCCCACCACAGACCCATGAAGCCTTGGTGCTTGTGGTTATATACTTGCTCACAAGCGCTTTGAGTTTCTGTTAAAGCCCTTTGAGAGGCATTGCTGGGCATTACACAGTAAAGGGATCAAACACAACTGCTGTTCTGTTAATTTTGCCTTCTTTCACTAGCATTTAATGCTTTTTCCTGAATATTTTTTGTGGTTTGCGCATCTGTGTTAGTTATAGAAAGTATGGATGTCAGCGCACAGGAAATTCTGGATTTCCCATTTGTGATGGAGGTGGTATTTACTGAGCAGCACCTTTGTCTTCAAATTTTAGAAACTGATACTTTTCTGATCATTTCGTTGAGATCCAGCGTGAATCTCCCTCATCTTTAAATCTAAGATTGTCTTTTGTGGTGTTGTAGATTCCTGCTTAATAAGGAACTATAATCTGATGCCTTTCGGCCAAGTGTCTCTTTCTGAGTAAAGGCACTTGGCACCTCAGGATAATCTCTGAATGCTGCAGGATGGGCCTTGTGCCTCCTTTCCCTGCCCCCTGAAACACGTACTGCAGTTCTCATGAAAGCACTGCGTGTGCAAAGTACTGTCCCTGCTTAGAGTGGTACTTTTCTCTCCAGTTCTCTGGGAGCAAATCAATAGTTTTTGTAACTGGCTCTTATGCAGAGCTGTTAACGGCTGCCTCTGGTCCTCCTTGTTTTTGCTCCTTGTCCTAGAGATCTTGAAAAACAGCTAATTATAAGCAAGTGGCATTTGCATTTTTTCCGCTCAAACTCATACTGTGAGTTTTGCATAGTGTTTCATTTTTGAATTAACACCCTGTGGCACATTTGAGCAGTGTTAATTGTTGTTCAACCCTGTTTTAAACAGAGTTCTTGTGATTTAGTGCTGTCTGCACCACTGTCAAGAAAGGCAATGTGTGCATGCAAATAAATACCTGCAGTATTGACTGTACAGGGCTTGAGGTAGTCAGGAATTAGCTCAGTTTTGAGGCAGAGGATCTCTCTCAGTGATAATCTTGAGAAAACTGGAAAGAATCCACCATGACCGCTAATGAGAACATGTTGCTGGCTGCTAGCTGAAACGCCCCTGGCAGTTTTTAGCCTTTCTTTCTGTACCCATACTGTACCCTGCTTGCCTTCAGGACCCCAGTTTATTCACTAAACGGAAGGTGTCATGTGTAGTGACAGCCATATACCATTTTCAGTAAGTAAGAGAGCAACATGTCAGTATAGAAAGCAGAGTAGCTTCAGGTAAGGTGTCTTCTGCACAGAATTTGTCATTCAGGTGCTGGTGCAGTTTGAGATGTGGTTGCTCCCGTGATTGTATCAGTGCGGAGTGATCCTAAAGGGACACATCTGTGATGCTCAGGAGTCCCCTGGGCTGGTCACCAGGAAGGTCTTTGGGGTCTGATGCAATGTCTTGAAGTGGAGGGGCTCTTGTCTCAGTGGTACAGTTGCAGAGTGTTTGAAAAGAGATGTTATTAAAGCGATTCTCTATCACAACAGTTGAAGCTACCCTTTCAAGGAGAGTAAGGACTTATTCTCCTAAAAGGTGCAAATTATCTTGGTGCTCAAAAGTCATCACAAGGACCAATGCTTGTGCTTGGCTGGATGGATGTGGGATGGTGCACACTCCCGCTCCCTTCTGTGGTCAACCTGAACCAAGATAGGCGTGGGTCTGAGAAGTCTTGTTAGATGTCTCTGCTAGTCCCTCCCCAGTGTGGTATTGTCGATTGTAGACAGACATGGTAATGGCACAGAAGAGGCTTTTTGGCTAAATGTTTGCGGTATTAAATGCTGAATTGCACTGGGAGTGGGAGAAGACGTTGTTGTTGCCATTCAAGGAATGCAGCTGTAAGTGACAAAAGAAAAGCAGCCTCATAACTCTCCTGTAAAGAACCCAGCTGTGGTCTTAAGGCCCTCTCTAAAGTATCTATTTAACAGAAGAGCTTCAAAAAATAGAGGAAGAAAGGATGTGTGTGAGTCAGTCATGTAGTGCTTGAGGCTGGTTTAAGAATGCTCATTAGCCCTTCTTCCCCATTGAAAGCACATTTCCTCCTCCCGGATGCTCCCCACTATTGGGTGACTTCAGAGCTTTGCACTTGGTCCTGGAGTGGGTTGAGGAGCGTTAATGTGTTCAGCTTCTCAGCTGTGGTGGAGGTAACTTGTTAAGCTTTTCCAGGTATAAATACAAGAGCCTTTTATCTAAAACTCAGGTGTAAGGCTTAAAGTAAGTCTGTTTCCATTGGAGTTGGTGACAAAATTCCAGCCTGTAAAAACAAGGCAGTGGAAAGTCACTGGTTGTTGCTGAGCTTGATCACCACTAGCACATCCAGCTGCAGATCTCAACATCAGGAACAAGTGATAACCTAGCCTGGGTGAATTTTCAGTTAATTTTCAATCTGTTTCTTTCTTTCTGCACTCTTTCTTTGTTTCAAACTATTTCAAATAACATTCTGAAGTGGGAAGTGTAGGGGGGGGAAAAAAAAGGGAAAAAAAATCCATTTCCCCATACTGAATTTTATGATAGGATGGGAGTAAAGCAAACCAACCACCGAGGCATTTATCCCTTTTTCTTAAAGCTTGCTGCAGTTCATGGTGGACCTAAATGATGGTAAGCCCTGGGACCAGCAACTATGTTTGGTAGAGCATTTGCAGGTTGAACTCAGAAATGAGACCAAGTGTTTTCTGCATGTTTTTTAACAACCTTGTGATAAGGGCTGCAGCTTCTGCAGCATTGCTTGTCTTACTGGAGTCCTTTTGCCAGGTGTTGGGCTAAAGGTCTGGTGACTTTGCCATATCCAGGGTCCTCCATTGGATTAAGTCCTAGGGAGGTGACATGGCTTTTGCCTTGCCTGCCACCCTCTGTCTGTAACACTTAAAAACAGAATAGAAAACCTCTCCTTGCTCATGAGCTGCTACAAAGTGACACGTGTCTGTGGGAAATTGCCTTCTGGCCCAAGTGGACTTTGGGTAGAGTCTTTCATACTGATAAATCATTCAGCCTCCTGTACAACTTCTGCTCCCCCAGTGGCAAACCATCTCTACTCCATCTCTAGCTTCTTTTATCTTTTTTCCTCTCTTTTTTTTACATCTCTTGATAGTATCTGTTAGCTACAAGTAAATCTTGCCTTATCATTCACAGACTTGTTGCCAAAACATCTCTGACTTCACCCCCATGGCCTGAAGTGAAACTTCCAGATCCAGTAGAAGAAGCAAAGTATCATGCAGGTAAAGTTCTCAAGTCTCCAAGTGAAGACTAGCACTCCAGTATTGCCATTGGTGGCCTAATTGAGCATAAATGTCTTCAATGATTGGAGCTAGTTTTTGTTCTTTGCATTTTTGTCTCATTTCTGGTATATGTTAGTGTCACTGGACTTGTGCTCCAGCTGCTGGAGATTTGGGTAGGATATGAGGTCTTCTTAGTTTATGACAGCATGACAGCTTGTAACACTCCCAGAGGAATCTTACCTGATGTGATGTGTTGCTTTCTAAAGCACGAAACAAGCCTTTTGGACAGGAGAAAATTATTTTTCTTTTAATGGATAAATCAAAAAGCTAAAGCCAGCATAAGCAGTTGGATGGTGGGCACATCAGAGAGCTGGTGTATTTTAGTGCATAAAACAGAACACTAGAGCCAGCATAAGCAGTTGGATGGTGGGCACATGACAGAGCTGCAGAGGTGTGACATAAGGCAATGAGCAACTGGCAAGTGATGCAGTGTTAGTGAATGCATTCTTGTCCCCACGTCTAGTCAGGACTGTTGAACGCAGCCAGTGGTCCTCCTGAAAGGAGCACATGGACTGTACAGCAGTCAGCCTCACAATTCAGTGAGTTAAGTGCCCGTAGCTGTTTAGCGACCATCCTCATTGCTTAGCCTTATTAAAACATGTCAGTCTTCCACTTGTAACCTGACACAGGTTCCCCTGGCAGGTGGGGATGTGAAAATCAAATACAGAGAAGGCATATGTGTCTAGCTTTATATTGCCCAGGTGGGGCTGTTGTCATCCAGACCGTGCTAGGAATGGTAGTGGGGAAGCCAAAACATGTACAGGATGGTTCTCAGAACTAGGCAGTAATGAGCTCCTGCGGGTGAATTTCTTTTACAGTTGCTGTGGTGGTGGCAATTAGCAGTTGTGTGCTCCGTGCAGGCAATGAGCTCCTGTGTTTATTAACAGGCAGTCTTACTGTCTCATTGTGTTAGCCTCTGGGATATCTATGAGGGGCGCCTGACTTGTCTGCTTTAGATGGAAGAGACCCAGGAAGTAAAGGAGAGGAGTTGTTTTACAAGGAGAGAGTGAGAGGAGAAAAGCTGAGTTGTGTCCACCTCTTTGCAGATAGTCTCCTATCATCTGGCTGAAGTGTGCTAATAACAGCATGAGTGGTGTGCTTTTGAGAGAGCCTCCTGCTCCAGGTCTCCTCTCTGGCTGTTTTTCATCCTGCTTTTTATCTCCTTTGTGCTCCTGGGATTGCTCAAGTGACAGATAGATGAGTGTTCTGTCCCTGAGCATGATTTGACCCAGTAGTGAACCATAAACTGCTTGGTTTGATTTGCTGAAGCCCTGTGGTGAACAGGGTCCCATGTTCCCCTGATTGATTCACATGGGATCCTCGGGGCTGCTATGATTTCCGTGCCCGGTAACCTCCTACTGTTTATAAGTTTGCATCATTATCTCCTGGCTGTGCTTATCCAAAGCAAACAACAGCAAGAGCTTTTGAATTCCGCCTTCTATTTTCCTGCTGGCTATGGAACAGCCATGGATATTTTAGGAAGGGTCACTCTACATGGTGGTGAGATACAAGCCATACTAGCAATCAAATGGTAACATCACTTGATGTTTCCTGTCACTAGAGGTGTTTGGAAGAGTTATCAACAACTTCAGAGCCCAAGTTCAGTGAAGAAAATGTACCTTTTTTGGTTATAAAAAGATGAGAAAGCTCCATGGGTAGAAAGTTGAAATTTGACAGGAAATAACCCTTGTTAGAGCATGACTCTACATGTTTTTTGCCAAGAGAAAATTTTAGGCCAGAATTTTGAAATTTCAGTATCGAAATGTTGACCACAGGACTACTGATATACCTAGATCACCAGTTTAGAGCTGGAAGAAATTTACTGTACCCATTGTGCAGTTTGGGGCATAACAAAGAGAAGGGGTTTGTATTTTTTCCCTGGACTTTTTGTAGTGGACCACTGTGAATCAGAGAAAAGAGCACACAGTGGATTTTTCTTCTGGGACAGCAATTCCAGCAACACAGAAGCTAAACTCTTCATCGTAGTGGGAACTGCAGCAACTACGGCCTTGCAAATAATTTCTGTTCTTGCCTCTACCTTTAATAATTTGCATCTGCTGGGTTGAAACTTGGACACTTTCAGAGTGTTCCTGTAAGGTTTCGGTTTAGTTGGACTGGCTGTTAAATTCTTGTCTGTCCCAAATGGATGTTGTTTTCATTTACATTCCAAGAAAAAATGATTCAGCCACTTTTGAGGACAAAGAAAAAAATCTATTTTTCCAGTTATAGAAAAGTTGCTCTTTTTCTGAACAGCTCAAGGGGGTGGAAAGCTACTATTTGGCACTGGAATGGCACTCATTAAGCAATACCTTTTGATGTTCCCATAAAAATTGGTTTTGGTTTCACTGCTCTGGAAGCTGATCACAGAAAACAGAGTTTGTTCATGTGCAGGACCTCATCCCTGGGATTCGTACTGCTCCTGGCACCTGCTGTGCATGCATGTGCACATGGGAAAAGATTTTCTGGAAAAGAGTGAGGGAAAGGTCTCTCTTGTCTTTGCTGCAGGTACAAGTTCTCAGGCCAGGCTTTGTTAGTACGCTGGAGCCCTTTTTCCTGTGTACTTTGCCAAATTCTTCCCAATGTTCCTGCATGCCTAACACAGTATTCAGAGTCCTGGGCCTTCTGCGTATCACTTGGAAATTGAGAGGAGGTCCCCTCCAAATGTTGGATGTATGGACAAGCGCTCTTTTCTGGAACACTTTATATCTGAATACAGTGCATTTTAGGATGCCTAAGAAATAGGCTGAGAAGTCAAGCCTTAGATTAGCTGCACAGTATGTATACACTAGGTGTTTACATATGCATGGGTTTGCCAGCAACTAAAGTACAAATAGGTCATTAGGTTTACAAAAGGGAGGCTCACATACCATAGGAAACAACATTGCTGTTGATCCTTGCTTAAAGATTCCCAGAAGATAGGAGTTTTGGTGGGAGAGCAGTGTGGCTGAATTAGTTTTGAACGGCTCTTCACACGTTGCTGGGTTTTCTACACTGATTCCTTCCCTGCTGTTTGCCAACAGAAGTGGTACAAAAGGTGAACAAGATGATTGCAACGGGGCAGTACGGAAGACTCTTTGCTGTGGTCCACTTTGCCAGCAAGCAGTGGAAAATAACCGGTGAAGACTTGATTATGATGGACAATGTACTGGAGGCTGAATGTGGAGACCGAATCCGGATGGAAAAGGTGATGTGCCATGCTTCCACAGTGCTTGTGATGCCATGCTGTGTTTGGGGCCAGAGCAAATTACCTGCAAACATTCCTTGAGGCAAAACCCATAACCAGTTTTTAAAAACATGTCCCAAAGAGCTCCTCTTGGATCTCCTGTTCTTACTCCAGTTGTTTGCTTTGCCTTACTTTTGTTCCAATTTCAGTTACTCTGTTCATGATAATATTATTGCGATTTCTGTTGAACAGGGTTGGAATGAGTCGTGGCAGACTCTGTCAGGAGATGTATTTTTGTTGTACTAACTTCATCCAAAAAAATAAAATTATAGTTGTTGTTTCTAGAGACGGCAGCTAAAGACTGTGTTTACCTTGAGACTCCAACACCCAAAATACTTGCAGTATTCTCAGAGAGACTGTCACTGCTCAATGCTTTGCAAGATCCTTATCACGCTGGGTGTGTTGGGTAGAGGGAGAGGGATGGTGCGTGTAAGGGAGAACTGCCAAGGTGCAGTTCAATATCTTTATCCTTAGCCTTGGTTAACTAGCAGAAACTTGCAGAGGCTCGTTAATCCAAATCTTAAATGAAAGATTATGAAGTAGGATTCTGTTGGCTTCATCGTAATGTTGGTTGTTAGAGCCAAGCAAGCAGTTAAGGAGAGCTGAGCAGTTTTTTTTTTACTCATCCATTGCTTTTAAGTCCAGTTTTGAGGCACCTTTTTATGCATCCCTTCAGCTGTGTCCTGCATCCTTGTATACAGAGGAGAGGAGTCATTTGCATGGAGTAGCCAGCTAGGAATGCAAAGGTCTAGATGGGAGTGAAGAAGGTGAAAAACTAGCCTAACTGCCATAACCCTTTTGGGATTTTACTGGCAAGTATCTGTCTAAAACAAAATCCAGAACATCTCATGACCACTTACATATTGTTTTTAACTGCTGCCGTACAACTAGCGTGGGGAAGGAGGCAGTCTGTAAGAAATCCTACCTCTTCTCACGATATCCTTTCTATTATCCTGCCTGGTCCTTCAGATACGCAGGTGGTTGAAATGCCCTGAAACAAAAGGGCTAGTCCCTGGGGTGGTGAATCCCCCCCAGATGTTCATTTCTTTATTGCCCATCTTGAGGCCTCATGGAGGAGAGCAAGGATAGTGTTCCTCTACTGGGATATGTAGCAATTGCTATAAAAATCCAATTATTTTAGTAGCTGCCATTCATTCACATCCCACACAAGGCATATTATTATTCTTCCCTGTATTGCTTTTCATATCTTTTACAACTGTTGGTGAGCCAGAACAGAAAGGTTCAGGGTGTTCTGATCGATGTGAAAGATGCTTCTAAAGTATGTTTTAGTAGGATAAGGTCTCCTGGAAGGCTGTTTAATGAATCTGTTTCTTGCCTGTTAGCTGCCTTTCCCCACCATCTCTCTCTAGTAACAGTGTCAGGTTTGAAATGTGCGAAGGCCTATTTTTAAGCAGTTTGACTCCTTTATTGTGACTGTAGAATTTGGAAGATATTGTCTGCATTTCTACTGGGACAATGAACCAGTGATATATGCCTGATTTGTTTTCCGTAGGTTTTGCTGGTTGGTGCTGATGACTTCACGCTTATTGGAAGGCCACTCCTTGGGTAAGATGTCTCATAGAAGAATTATCTTCAAGACAATTCTTAATTGTAGCTTCAGGGCTCCTACAGTCTCTGAAACCGAAGAGAAACCTGGATTTATCAGCACTAGCTTTTTTCCCAGCCCTGTGGCTTTTGAAAGGATCACCAATAAAACAAGCTCATCAGCCTCTGCTGGCTCTAACCATTGCCACAGTGCCAGGATAGAGCAGCAGTACCCATTTCTAAGGTAACTGTAGGATATTCACTTCTCTTGGGTTGGATCTTTTTCTCATGGTATAAGCCTTGTACAAACTAGCAGTAAATCTTGCTCTTCAACATCTTTACTCCCTTACCCTAATTTTGGTGATAGTCATCTTGAAATAACCCAGAAATCCTTTCCCATTCCTTAATCCCTTAATTTGACTTGGGTTTTTTAACCCGTTTCGTTTTGCCCTTGCCCTTACCCAGCAGGCCTTGATCTTAATTTTAGAGTTCCTAATTTTCCCTTCCTCCTAGTCACATATTCCAGCAATCACAGAACTGGGGAGAAGGCGTTTACCCCCTTGGCACCATCTCCATCCCAATGCTGTAGGACTTGCTATACAAACTGGCAGAACACCTGGTTCTTCAGCCTTTTCTTTACCAAAAGGAAGTGGTGTGTGGACCAGGTGTTATTGCTCAGCTCTTAGCACTAGCCAGAAGCAAAGTCATGAACTGTTATTTTCCCCAGGACGAGAGGTTTTAGTGGTAAAATGCAAGTCAAGATAAGGTGGGTTGGAAGAGCTCAAAGTATCTGGAAGCCCTGGCTGTGGTCTGGTTGCAGGCTAAACCATGTGTTTAGGTCTTAGCTTGAACTGCAGCAACTTTGGCAGAGGATGGTCAGATAAGAAGGAACTTGTACATCTGAGAATTATTTCTTGGTGGCTTGTAGATTCAGGTTAGAAATACCACATGGTTTCAGATTGGTTTCACTTCCGAGTGCTTTCTGTGGTACCAGGGGGCTGTTGGAATTTAAGAGTTACTTGTAACGTGTTTGTGCAGTTGATGACGTGACTTCAGTTGCACTGGTGGTAACTGCCTCAGGTTCCCTGTGTTAGACAGGATTTTGAGGGCTGCCAGTCCTTTTAACAGTACTGCAAATAGATCTGGAATAGCAGATCATCAGGACTCTTTGAATTATTGCTACATAGTGCACTTGTGGAAGATTTTAGGAAGGGGAATCTCATCATTAGGACTAGAAATATCATCTTGCAGAAGTTCAAATAAGAGCCTAAGTTCTGCAGACAGGGCCATGTCAGTCAGTTTAGGAGCACCATCCTTCACCTGGTTCTCTTAACCAGTGGCCCTGGGGTGGTTCTTTGCAACTCTCAGTTTGCATGCTGGACTTGGCATGTGGCCTGAGCCCCAGGAGCTCTGGGACAGGAAGAAATACAGCTGTTGGGTTCCTACAGGTGCTCTAAGTGTGTGGAAAGTGTTGTCAGTTGCTTGAAGCGGACCAAATCGCATCTGCTGATGTTAGCCTGAACTCCAGTAACTTTGGCAGAGGAAGATCAGTGGGAGGAGGAGGCTGGCCAGGCAGAATGAAAAGCTGGTGGGGAAGTGCCATCCTCCCTCTGAGCTGTAGGGGAAACCTCCGAGTCCCCCACTCTCCCTTATGAGCTGAGGAAAGGAAAGCAGAACCCAGCGTGTCATGAGCAACATGCAGTTCTTTCACATAGTTCCCAGTTGTGCTTAAACCACAAACATTTTGGAGGGGAGATAAGAGGTTGGATGCGAACAAAGGCGGTTTTGTTTTTCTGTTGTTTTAAAAATAAACACATCAGTGAATGCTTGCACCAGTATCTACGCAAGACAGTTCATTACAGCTGCACTCCCTGTTCAAACTTGGAGGCGGGTAGGAACTTGTCCTGTTTTGGACAGATGGTCATGTTTTAATTTTCTGTAGCAGTCAGATACCTCCCAAGATGACACTCCTCTAAAGCCTTAAAAAACAACAGTGCAACAAAACATATCTGCGTGGCAGAGGCTATTCTGGGAACTTCTAGCTGGCTTCTACTCTGGAATCTGTTGGGTTTTGTGTTTGTTCAAGTAACTTGCTGTCTGGTCGATTGGCACAAGGGTATCAAGCAGTATGCAGTTGTACTTTATTTAGCTGTATAATGCAGAAATTGTTGTGCGTTTTAAAGCTGTGATTAGAAATGAGCAAAACCTTGGGCAGGTTTGCATTTCAGGCCATCAGTTGAGTGCCCTCAGCTGTTTTAGACCCAAGTGAAATGAATGGTGCCTCTATGAGAAAGTTTAGCTTATTTCTAGACAAAGTACAGCTGTTTTGAATGTTTTCCTCTAGATGAACCTTTCTCTTTCTCCTGCTACCTGCCCGTTTTTGCAGTGGCTTCAGTGGAAATGACAAAGGCCCTTGGACCTGTTCTTTTTCCAGACAGCCAGGCTGGGATTCAGTTACCTTCTGGAGGGACCGAGTGAGCTTGTCAGTTGAAATTATTACCTCTAAGAGTTATGATCCTTTGGGGTTGTAGCTTGCCTGGATCTTTTTCACTGCTTAATGACAATAGCTTTCAGCGCAACTTAGATCTATGAGATTTCAGTGTGAATTTTTCTTGCCTCCTGCAAAAATCTGATAGATGTGCTTTGTCATGAACCATTTTGCTGCTGAAAGCAGCAGGCCTGACTGTGTCAGACTCTGGGAAATGTGTGACCCTCTTTTTATTTTTATGGACATTCCAGTCATACCTAAAACATTCGATAAAGATTTTTTTTTTCTTGGGCTCTATTTTGCTGAGAACTTTTCTGTTCATATGCACTTCACCAGTAAGTTGGTTTCTCCTGTGCTTCAGCCTTTCAACCAGCAGCTCCTAGTGCTTTGTCCAACAAAGACGGACTCACTAGGGCCTGTTTGCAACTTTGACTTGCAGAGTGAAGCCACACTTGGGTACTCAGCTGTCTCAACAATACCCTTAAAGATTTGCCTGAAACCATGTCAACATCTATGAGCAATTGGGGGGGACACAACACGACACACTTGCCTACACATCTGTGTGTCAATGTTTCTCCCTTTGGCTGGATGCTACCGCAGGCCTAGGACAGCTAGTGCTGTCCAGTGGTGAGAGCTGTATCAGGGATAGCTTGGCTGTGCTACTGCAAACCCTGGCTCTCCTGAGAGTAGCACAGAGATTTCAGTGACCAGGTCACTTTATCTGGCCTGGCTGCTTTCCAGTTTTCCCATGTGATCATCATTAGTGAGTTTCTTGCATGCCTTTACAGTCCAAGCCTGTGAGAAGTCAGTGGGAGTTTAGCTTTCCCTTTGCCTTCAGCGGGCAGGAATTAGACCCAGAAAGTATAGCTCCCTAATTATAGTGGTAAAACATGGCCAGCCCCTGGAGTGCAGTTTATTTTTTGGTTTCTTTCCTAGCGTTGCAAAGCTTGCTGTGTATTTCAGTAGTGCAGTTGGGTCCTATCACTGGGCTGAATCTGGATAACATCCTTTAGCTGCGATGTCAGGGTCACCCAGTGGTCTCTTGAAATCTATATTATCTTATGTCTATTTTCTACTGGGCTAGTCACTAAATGCAGGTATATCAGTTTTCTCCTCTGTCTGTCCTTCCCTCAAGGATTCAATCTCTGATATTTATTACACCCCAGAGGGTAAATGTTAAGAGAGATAGTAAATGTCTCAAAGCCTTTGGCCTCCTAGTGACCTTGCTGGAACAGTTAGGCTAGATGGGCTTCCCCCCCTCTACCCCCCTTAAGTGCAGACAGAGTCATTTGTCAGGAAAATGTTCTTTAAATGTCTTCTGGCGGCAAAGTGAGCATGCTAATGAGTTTTTAATGGTATTCTGCAGTGATGCTGCATGAAAGAGCATCTCTTCCTCCTCCATTGTGGCTGTTGATTAAAACCATGCTTTCCAAAGCTTTAGTCTGGCTCTTGTCTGGAGGCAGTTATCTTCCCAGAGAGGAGTTGTTGTGCAGACGGGTAGCTGGTCCTCCAGCGTGTGCTTCAGACCACCTTGTTTTCCAGCTCTGGTGTTTTTCGGCTAGCTAGAAATCCCAGAACTCTTTTTCTAACTTCAGTGGGACTTCCTCTCTCGGAGCTCTGCAGAATCCCTGAGTGGGCAGGAGGTGTGTTTGTGTGTGTCAGTAAGGCAATGTGGAGTGATGAATTACTCTGTGATTTTACTCACCTGTGAAGGAAGTATGGACCATATTCTTCTCTTCATCTCCATTCTTAGGGAGGGGGGATGTTTTATTGCTGAGAATTTCCATATGTAGAAGTGAGTTCTAGAAATAATTTGAGTCTTCAAGTGGTCTCACCGCTCAGCCTGAACTCCCCCAGCTGTGGGGCAGGGAGCAGTATGTGAAATCCTCAGTAAGTCCCCGTCTTCTCTTCCAATTTGGGGTAAACAAGCAGGGCAGACCAAGAGTAGGAGGCAGAAGAGAGGCATGTGGGAGGAGAAGTGACTTACTCCAGCAGCCAATTAGCTGTGCTTCCTGCTGGAAACAGTAGGCCACATCTCTTTTCCCTGAGCCTTTGTCAGGACTTAATCAGGTGAGCGAGGTGAGAAGACTTTCTTGAGCTGACTGTGATGCTTTGTAGAAGGAGGGAGGACTTCAGTGTTGACCAGCATAGCACAGGAGAAGTGGCCATGGGTGGGTTTAACCTGTACCATAAGCAAAGTAGGACACATGAGATCATGTAGACGTGCCGGGGGAATCTTACTGTAATCCTACAGGTTTGTGCAGGTTTGTCTTACTACCATCTCCATAGCTGTTTCTGAACTTACCCTCGCATGGCAGAGAGGCACTGCCCTGCAAACTATCACATCAGCTACTTGAGGCTTTTACGCTTGCACCGTGAAGCCAACAACCTGACAGATTTCCCTCCTTCTATGGTGACTTTGTAGTTCCTGTGGTATCTGTGTGTCGTTTTTCTGCAGAAACCTGCTCACCGATAGGAGGAGAATGTAAATAATTAAACAGTGATACTTTTAAAATTTATTTTTAAGGAAAGATCTTGTCCGTGTGGAGGCTACTGTGATTGAAAAGACGGAGTCATGGCCAAAATTTAACATGCGCTTTTGGAAGAGGCACAACTATCAAAGGAAGAAAAGTAAGATGCAAAGAATACAGAGCTTCCTTCCCTGCTGTTCTGTTGTTAGATCTGGGAGGGGGAGGTATCGTGACACAAGGGCAGCGCCTGGGGGAGGACACTCATTCACCATATCCCCAGGACCCCTCATGGCACAGCACCTCTTTCCCCGCCCACTGCCCCAGGTGTGCCCACTGTATTTAGAGCACAGTGACTTAATATTCCTTTGGTCCAGCACCCTCTGTTAGATAGCCTTGCAAAAGATCTTGCTGAAAAAAATAAAAATCCTGGGCAGAAAAGCACCCTTGTTCTCTTTCCAAAGCCTTAAATACTAGATACGTAATCACAGATATTAGCAAGCCTTAACAGTATCCTGTAGCAGCCTTTTGGATTACCAAACGACTGCCCCTTCTCAGATATGACTGAGGGACAGAAAAAGTATGACCTTTTTTTTTATGGAACGGATGCTAAAACCTTGACCGGCCTGACACAGTCCCATGGGAGCTCTGCCTAGACCTCTTGTTCATGCCGTACCAATGGTATGCAGCTGTCCTGCCAACGTGGCAGCATCTGCCAGCACACCCCCTCCTAGAAACTGTCACGCCTTGGCATTCTGTAGACTAATGTAGCTAAGCCAGCGGGAGCCTTCCGAAAGGTACGCAACAGTTCTGTGCTGTCATCTGATCTTTTTTTTCTCTTTTAATTCTTTTTCAGTCATCGTGAACCCACAGACCGTCCTTCGAATAAACACCATAGAAATTTTCCCCTGTTTGTCATGATTGATTGCTCGGGTGTTGTGTGGCTTAGGTTTATTATTGCTTTAGGCAATTATGGAAATAAAACTGCCTTGTCATTGGAAAGTTCTGGACTTCTTGCTGTTGTCGGAAATCTATATGTACTTTCTTTTAAAAAAAAAAAAGAAAATATTTTTTTAAACTATTATTTCAGCCTTGGTGTTTATTTGTCAAGAGTCTTAAACAACCCAGGATCCATTGCTAGCTGTCAAGCTGTTTCATGCCAACTGGGTCTACCTTTGCCTGCACATCTTTATGTACTTTAGGAATTCAGGCTCTCAGCTGTGTCATAAAATACCTCGGGCTTCACTGGTTGTGGAAGAAAAGGGCCATCACCCCAGTCCCAGAGGTGAGCCTGGAAGGCAGAATCTATGTGTGTAATTAGTCAATTTAAAGAGCCCGTCGCTGTGCTTAGTTATTTGTGTCCTAGCAAGTTTCCCTATCCTGGGACTGTGAGTGCACTTAAGGCTAGCAGAGAGGCAGGCGTGTTTGGGTGAGCTGATTTGCCCTCTGGAAACACTCGTTGCTCTCCACAGACTGCAGTTACATTGCTGTAAATAGGTGAGCTGTTTTCAAAAAGTGCTAAGTGTAATTTTGCCCCCGGCCCCTTTTCCTGTCCTGACAAAAGCCCTGCTGCTCTGTTCGTATAATTCCTGGCACTGTATGGCTTCAGGGAATATCCTGGGGTACAGTGTGGCCCACAGCAAACGTGAGACTGAAGACAGCAGTGAAACAAGATGACTGCAGGATCCCAAATCTACTCCCAGATCATGCTGAGTGGTGAAAATCCTTCTCAAAGATTAGCAACAGGAGATGCAGCTGAGAAATACCCCTCTTAAAGGTGAGCCAAAGAGTCTGTTGCATAGCAATAAATTGTCTGTGTGTGTAATACCATCAAAATAACAGATACTAGTGGCTCAGGAGTGACTTCATGCCTATTTCACAGACTTGGTGCTTGACCTAGTGAGTATATTTTCATGTCTGGATCTCAGCATTTTCTCTCCGCTCTGCCTGCAAGTTGAGCACTGTCACTTACCGAGCAGCATGTACAAGGCCAGAATCAGCAGGCTTATTCAGCCAAGGTTTGCATGTGTTTCTGGACTGTAATAACCAGGAGTTTCCTAGAGCTTTCAGCAGGCTCTCAGGGTAGCTATCAGATTCCCTACAGCTACCATGAGAAGTGATAAGTGGGCCCTGCTCACCTTGTCACTTCTGTAGGGAATACCTTGCTTCAAATGAGTTGGGAGGCAAGTCTGCATACGGGTGTCCTTATGCACCCCCACTGTGACTCCTTCATAGGACCAAGGTTGCCCACAACCCTGTACTGAAGGAAATGCTAGTTTTGAACATAACTATATCTGGGTCTTGTCCTGTCTTTCAAATCTCACAGGTCTGTATAAACCTTCAGGAGATCACTTTAGGTGCCGTAAATGGCAAGCTTGATGGCTCAGGCTGCATTTCATCTTGCCTGACTTCAGCTAGAGAAGGTTCCAGCATGCTTGGGTTAAGCTAGTTCTCTAGTTGCTGGAGTGAGATGGTCATCTGCAGAGGCTGACTCATCTCTTCCCCTTTAGGATCGTCTGGCACGAACAGCCCTTGGGAGATGCTGTTTCTTCTCTACTGACTGTACAAGGAGGCTGGACACCTAGATTTTAAACAGCTAACGGTAATACAAAGGCAGGGACCTTTCTGCGACCAGCTTTGATAGTTGCATCCTTGTTTCCAAGCTCTTACAAATGGAAGGCAGTGGGGGGACCTCTCCTCCAAAAATCATCTCGCACTTCCTTCCCCCTCTCCCAAAGGTGGTTCCAGTTCTGTGCTGGGACCACAGACCCCAGCAGTAGCAGTGAGTGGAAATATTTTGCAGGCCGGCATGAAGACTATCGCAGTGACTGCCTACCAGTTACAGATTGCTCACAGTCCACAGCAGAAGCAGCATTGCCAGCTGAAGCAATTTTACTGGAAACCTCCAGTCCCTCTGCGTTTCTTAAGGCATGTGAGTGCTGGGGCTAAGAAACAGCATACATGTCTTGGCTTTAAGAGGATGTAGGGGGAATTTTCTGTCCTTCCCGGTTATGGAGGAACACTTGAAAATAACAAGAGCGACTTCAAGGCTCAGAAATATGGAAGGAAGAGCCCAGTGTTGATTCAAAAGAAAAAGCAAATGTCTTAAGTTCATCTGTAAAACTGGTCCCCCCCAAAAAAGCCCTTGGGAAATGTAATTCTAATCCAAGTGAGATACTTTGTGAAATTAGGGTGGCTTCACAGCGGTTTTGGGTGAGAAAAGGGACATTTGGGCAGCAAGGGAAAATTCAACCAATATCAGGAAGTCCTGGGTTTTGTTTTGAAAATTTTATAATACAAAATCAGAGCAAAATATTCAGGTTTTATTGAAATAATGCATTCAGACTGAGGATTATTTTTGACATTTTCTTCAGGGGAATTTAAAGAAAAAGCTTTTTGCTGTTCCAAGTGGAAGCAGAAATCCCCATTTCTTCTCTGGAGTGAAGTTGCAAGTCTCCATTTGGCTTCACCTGTTGGGGAGTGGCTGCTTGTGATCCTCTTTCTGGCTGCTAAATGTCATTTGCCATGCTTAAATAGTTTAAGAGCAGAAATTTCTCCACAAAGCCGGCTTCCCCCCCCGCCCCCCGCCAAGCACTGATTCATGGTGGAAATTTATCTGTTAGGACAAAACATCTTGTTGGACAGCACGTTGGATCAGGGTGGAATTTGAGAGATGCTTTGCCCAGAGTCTCTAAAGATTAGACATCCACATGGGTTAGACGAGAACCAGACCTGAGCTCCTGCCATCCAGCACCTCTAAAGCAAAACTGTGGCATTTGTCCCCCATAATCTCCCCTCGGTGCTGTTTGACTTTGTGTAAATAAGGATTTGCTGCCCAGAGGGAGGCTTGAGAGCCGGAGTGGAGGGCATCCGTCTGCTCTGAGTCAGGCCCGAATTCCAGTGCGTGCTCCCTGCCCACTGGCCACAAAGCCGCTGGCTGTTCTGGTTTCTCTCTCGTGCTTTCGAAGAATGTCGGTAGGACTCTGCTTCATTCCCCGGCAGAAGGACAACAGGCTTTGCAACACTGACATTTTTCCACAATAAGGAAGCGTTGTTTTCTCGCCAGCCGGGCTGCCGAGAGGTTTGTTCGGAAAGACTTGTCAGGAGGTGCCTTTGCTTCTCTGCCAGCTCCGCTTTGGCATTGCATTGCTCTCACGTCCCCCCGTTTTGAGCATGAACGGATTCCTGGCTCTGTGGCTCTCTGGATCCCAGATGGGCAGTGCAGTCCCCCCAGGACACCCCTCGCTCCCCCTTTCTGTTACCTCTCTGGAAGAGTGAAGGGAGATGTATAGCCAAGCCCTAATTAAGAGTGCACCGTGGCAGCAAACGGTACGTGCTGTTGCACAAGAGATCAATGAACTGCTGGCCTGGCTGAATGTCAGCCCAGCTGTGACCTCATCCTTTGCCCTTTTAAGAGCAAGGGACTGTAGCACCTTAATTTATTAGCGGCTGGGTTGTTTTTTTTCTCCCCCTCAGATACAGATGCTTTCAGGATTTGGTTTAGAGTGAGGTTTCAATCATTTAAAAGGCTAATGCTGTTCTTCTAAACCCTCCAAAAGGATTTGAGGTGCTTGGATTTGGGTTTCGCATCCTGACAACAATAAAATCATCATCGTGATTGAAGGGGAAACGGCCCATGCTGGTCATCCTACAGGATAGCTGTCTGCAGCCTATCTCCAGAGCTCTGTCTGGATGAGTTTTAAATTACCTACCTGATGGCGTTCCTCTTCCTTCTCTTGGCGAGTTGTTCTGTGTTCTAAAATAAGCTTCACAAGCAATGCCATTTCTCACAGCGTGAAGGCTTCCCGTTGTGAGGATCCATTATTTGTGCAGCCTAATGAAGTGAGATAGACGTGGTAAGCGTCAGCATCCTTTCTTCCCAACAGCCAGCTTCTGCGGAAAAACGAAAGTGCATGAAACTCTCTCTTTGGGACCCAAGGGCCAGCAAAGGGATTTAGCAACTTGGCTATGATATTTGGATCTGCTTAACATTCATACGCTCTACTATGTCATGAGCTGCAGGCGTTTATCCAGTTGAAGTGGCAAAGCAGCTTGACAAGTTCTTAGGACATGTTGTTCGGGCCTCCGGGGTGGAAGGGAAATGCTGTTAATATGCCCCTTTGGTGTGTTTTTTTCCCCTGTCAGCTTTGCAAAGGCGCCTTTGAACTCTTATGTGGAGCCAGATTTATTTTCTCAGCATGATCTAGCCACGTTTTGGCTGTGCGTCGGAATACGCTTTAGAAATCAGCAACAGACAGAATGTAACACCAGGAAACTGTGTTGGTTTGATTTCTCTTGCACTAGAGGTTTTCTTGTCTCTTGTAACCAAAAAAATAGTCCCCTCATTAAGAAGAGAAAGGGAATGCTTCACCGCCGGGTCCCGTCTGATACAAAGCCCTTATGGAGAAGGCAGACAGTGGCCAGCAAGCCTGGGCATGAGCAAGCACTGGGGCTAGGTGCCTTTCATCTATTTTCTCTCTCCCTATTTATAGAATGTGGGAGAAGCTATTGGGATCCGTGTTCCTGCTCCTGCTGTGTCTCTGCCTGGCTGCTATTGCAGCATTCGCATGGCTGAAGCAAAGTCAGGATTTGATTTCAGTAGGAACAGAGTGAGTCTGCAAAGCCGCTGAGAAAGGAAAGGGCCCTGAAGTCTGAGAGCACTTTTTAATTGCATGCTGGCTTTGCTATAGCAACCAAAAATATGTTTCTTGACAGGGCGGTGTGGCTTCAGTTATATTCTTGGAGAGCATTCCCTGACGGCCCCGTCCGACATTAACTCTCAAGAGGCGTGCTAGCAGTGAAGCTTGCCACATGCGGTATTGTCTCGATAGGAACAATGTACAGTCATTCATGAGTGACAATTAAATGTGATAGCGAGTTGGAAACGTGGGGTTTGAGTCCTTCAAGTGGATGCTCAGGAGGTGAGCTAAACGTTGTGGGACCAAAACTTTGAAATACCTTGGTCATTTTTGAAAACAGCGTGCAGGCTCCAAAGTCAGCTTGAAAGTGAGTTGGTTTCTGCATAGATCTTCTAGCATCCCACACCTTCAGATCATCTAATGGAGAGACAAGGGACCAGCTTTGCTTTTAT